CTGTTGAAATCTCTCAAGCCGCTCGCTTCTCCATGTTCAGCTCCAGAGCTAAGTCGTCCATCATGTCCATTTCACGACCTAAGTAGACGTAATTGGAGCACTCGGAGGTATTTATTTTGTTGATCGTAAATGGTATCTACGGAACATTCCTCATGAACACCTCTTTTATAAGGTTTAGTCGAAGACAAATCTTTCTACAAGCGTTACCAAAGACTGCTTCGTTCCCTTCACCAAGGCTAATGCTTGGTGTAGTACGATCGACGTCATCAACAAAGCGAAGATGATGTTATTGCCGATCATCGACCTGTACTCTCAATCCCTTGTTCTCATGACGTTATCAAGTGTGGCGGTAAATAATTTTGGCGAGACAGTAACATCTTACCTAATCCATCTTTTGACTTTTGGTTGTGAAATTTTTGTATAGCTCAAGAATTTCTATATACTGAGCAGGGACCTTTTGGCTGTCCAGAACTTCTATGACTGCTTCTATCTCAACGGAATTAAAGGCTTTCCTTAAATTGATGGAAGTGGGACAGAGCAGTCTCTTTTGCTCTTGCGATACTTCGATGAGTCTTATTATCGTGTGGATGTGGTCCGTCGTACTGAATCATTTTCGAAACCATATTTTCTCACATGGTCTTGCTTCTGGTGCTCTGTCAATCCTGTTTAGGATGACTCATGTAGAAAGTTTGTAGAGAACAAACAGCAAACGGGTTGGGCGATAGTTACCGATATCGTGGAGGGCAGTCTTGAAGGTTTTCCACTGAGTAGTATCTTGCATTCTTACAGATAAAATGTCAAGAGCCTCGACCGTATGTTGACGAAGACTAACTGAAAATGTTTTTCAGGTGTTCAGACCTTATCTTGTCCGGAGTTGATGTTGTCTGATTCTTCACCGACGAACTAGCTTATCGGATTTCGGAAGGGAAAACCAATGGGAATATATATCCATGCTCCTTTATTTCGTATGTGGGAAGAGGACGTGGTCAATGGTATCCAATTAGTGATAGCAAATGTTTTTCTTCGTTGCCATTTTGGAAACTGTAACTGTTCCGTTTGGGCGTCAAATTGTAGTAATCTTGGTAATATTCTAATTGGGTTCTCACTAGGCTTTGAGAATGATTTTCCTATCCTCTGCAGCTTCGGCCATGACTGCTGCTCTTCTCTTCTTAAGAACTTCCTTTATCGCCTGTCTACTTTGTTTCGCAAATTCGGGCGTCACTTGGCGGGTTTATGGTGACAAACGTCGTCTGGTAACTTTCGAACTTTCAACTTTTATAGCGCCAACGTGTTAGTGTTGAGTAGGTCGATCGTATTCCTGGTCGATGTTATCAAAAATGGCGAACGAATGATCTGAATGAATACTAGTTTCTATAGGTTATGGTGGTTTTCAAACGTGGTTTTTTTTTTAGCATAGCAGCTTTCTCTCCATTCCGCGTGAAATGGAATCTTGCGTGAAGGAGGTGATGATTTGATCCTTTATAGAATTTTAAGACAACAGCGACATCGGTCAGGGATAACCCTCTATTTATTATTACGTGGTCTATTTCGTTGTGATACTCTCCACTGGGAGACTCCCATCTTTAGTGTTTCTCGCGGCTTCTGGAATCGTGATATACCATGAGTGGTTTTGGTCGTAATGACATGGTCGCTTAGACAGTCGCTCATACTGCTCGCTTCTTTGCAAGTCGTGGGTCCAAGTATGGAGTTCTTCGGACGTTCTTATGGGTCCAGTGTATTGTTAAACTGTCTAATAATAACCTTAAAGAATCTCCGTTTCTCTGTTTAGAGGAATTCCCCAAGTCCATATAGAATCCTTCGACTTCTTCTCTTTCGTGACCAAATTCATGTTAACGAGAACGCCAATGTCACGGACTCTTCTATTTTTTTACTGCATGTTTCAAGAAACAGTACCTCGTCGGTATCATAGATCGCGTTCAATAGGCGTCGTCTTCCTGCCTCAGTCAGTCCGTTGATTTTGTGCCTTATTCTTCTTGGCTTCATGATCGACTTCTCTATGGAGGACTCGATGAGGGTGAACATACATTCTAGTACAAGTCGTCACATTATTCCTTTGAAATTTGAGGCTCACATACTTTATTGTGTTTAACATGGTACCCACATATAGCTTACTGAGCTCTGAACATAGGTGGTTGGTATACACACGCGTAGTTTGCTAGTGTCTTCTAAAGCAGACAAGAAGCTTATTTGCTGGAACTGACGCCTAGCCGCCTCCCATATACTTCCCAGTCACTTGAGTGCAGGCTTTTGGCCGAATTAACTCGTAGAATGCAATCCGCATAAACGAATACACAGCCAGGCACACATGAATGAATACCTGCTCGTAAATATAGAACGTATTTTCCAAATCGGCGCAACAGAAACAGGGAATCCATCGTCCGGATTCACCTCCGTCTCAAGGAAGCAAAGGTTGCTTATGGTGCGCGACTAACCCCCTGCTCTTCATTTTAGAAGCCGTCACGTTTTCTTTTGGGTTAGCAGCAGAAGCTCTCTCTGTGAGAGAGATTGGTGGTTGAAAGAAATCCGTGGGATAAGATGGGATAATTACCAAATTCATGGAAAGTGTTCCTCCTCCCTCTCTTCTGCTTAGACTTGTGACATTCTTGTTTTATAGTTCGATATGCAAGTTTATGCTTAGAAGTGATTTTTATGTGGAACAATTATAATTCGCTTCATAATATGAGTATAGTTTACGATATTCCTGAGTTGAAATCTGTTGAAAGATTTGTTAGAAACCATTTTTATTGCTCTAAAGAATAGATGAACTTCCTTTAAACATATAAAAAATCAGATAAGGAGTAAATGGAAAACTAAAAATGATTACCTCAGATTATTGTTGAATTTCTGTTGAGCCGATATGACTTGAAAGTTTTTAGTCGACATATCAATTGCTATTCGATTCGTGTTGCGAGCAGGGTGCTCCGTCATCGGAATCTGTGCGGTTTTGGTAGGTAGCTTAAATACATCGAAATTAGAAAACCCTTTAAAACTTTATTGATCGTAAAAATGCATTGTATGTTTTTTAGAGCTTGATTCTTTTCATCACTTGCCCCATCAGATTCTGCCATGAATTCTACTTGCCATATAATTTTTGAGTTAGGTAGATGCTTATGTGACCTGTCATCAGATTTCGTGTTGATCTCAGAACTTTCGTTGTCTTGCAACTATCATCCATGAAGATGTTCGCGTTAGGGTGTCGAGGAGTACATCAGCCGACCTACTTTCAGATCGTTTTCATTCTGTGGAATACACTCCAAAGATCTTCACGTCTACCTGTCGTCTTCTATTCTCATCAATTTGTCCATCTAGGTGTATTTTATAAATCGTATTCTACCAGGTATTGCAGATAGGGTATTTTTCGAAGATCAGATCTATTGAAATTGGCTTGGTGTTAAGTAAGCCAGTTTATCTTCATAAGACGTCGTTTGAGTCCCCTATATGCTGCACGCAATGTTTTGTCCGGCCAATGTGTCAGCCCATGTTGCTCTTGAACAACACAGAGTCACAAGATCTGTGGTGCCAACTAAATGGGGACGTGAGTCAGGATTGGCAAGTTGGTCAGTGGCGGTCCATTTTGATCCTTCTTCCAAGTCGTTATCCATTCAAGAACTTCTCATGCGTACGATGTAGGCTTCTCATTTCATCGCAATTTATGCTTGCTTGCACCAAGCATTTTTATAAATTTGGTTTCTTTTCGATTGTTCTGTAATTCCTTCTTTTTCCGTGCTTCACTGAGCTCAGAAAGTATTGTCTCTATTTTCGTGATACCGTTTAAAAAGACGAAAATGTTGTCGGCAAAACGGCAGTTGAAGAGGACCCTTAAATCCACTTTTTCTACTAATCAAGAGCCACAACGCTGAGCAACTTTGGGCGTTCTTCGTATCCTTTTATCAATTGGAATAGTAAGCAATTCGTGGAAGAGCCGTATCTTCGCTTAACAGTGACTACTTTACTGTAGTCAGCAAGCGTTTCTAGGTAGGTAGGGCTTGTCTCTCTCTCTCTCTACCTTAGTGAACTACTGGTGACAGAGTTGGTAACACCACTGCTGGATGCTTTGCTATAGTCAACGAACATTAAAGACAAGGTGTAGATAGTACTTCCCGGGAACTCTATAGTCCTCGATGGCTCCAGTGGATAAGTTAAAGCTGGAATAATGGTTACGTCGAAATGTATGACCAAATAGGTGAGAATGAGTAAGTAGTTGTTCATTTGTGTCTATTAGAAGATGGAAGACAGCCCACGCAGCTCCTTGTCTTGTACTGAGTTCGGTTCTGAATTACCTTCTTCCTGATTTTAGATGTGTCAATACATTCACCGCTGTAGTGCGACCACAAGCAGCTTTGGAGATAACTTGTCATTTTCGTGCTTCTTTATTTAGATAAGATGTATGGAAAATACTGATTTGTTGTCTGGTTTGCTTTCTAGATGCACTCAAAGGATAGCAAAAGCGCAAGAATATAAACTTCAAAAATACTTGCATAATCTTCGAGCACTTACTTCTAAAGCGTGTGTAACTAATGGTTCAAACTTAGGTTTGATTTTCTCGACTACATGATGCGAGTGATTGAGGACGATCGAACTGTCTACGGTCCGAGTCTTAATCAGTTTCCACAAGAGTTGAATATTGGGCATTTATCGGCTGGCACACTATGGACGTTGTACAAAATGGATTTGAAGATGGCCCTAGAAGGTTTGTGATGGTTTTTAATTCGATGAATGAATCCTAAGCGAAATAACATTGGATGCAGCAGCTATTTTTGATGTTCATGATTGTTCAGAACATGCAACAGCGAAAAAGTGTCCAACACCGGAATATATGAACTTGTACTTTAAAGTGAAAGGATTCTACTTTAAGTATGTCTCCGATCTTCCGCAGTACAAGAATTCTATACCGGAATTTCCGGCGTGAGTTCATCTGTATTTTCGTTCTCAGACTGCATCATATCCATGTTGGATTCGGATGAAGACTTACACATACGATGTATTTGTTCCTTTCAACTATTTCCATTCGTGTGTCCCCATTCAACTTTTTAGAGAAGCTTTTAGATGGTTGTACTATTATATGTTGTTCTTTGCTTTTCTATTACTTTCACCTCTGTCCCTTTTTACTATTTGTTTTCGTTGAGGCACTTTCGAATATTGGCTCGTTATTGTCATCAGCGAAGTAGCGACAAGAATTGCATAGAATGTGATTCAGAACAAAATGACGTTCAGTGTTTAGATGAACTTGTTTTTTTATTCAGTTGGTTTATTCCTTTCGTCATGGATTGGTTGAATGAGAATGATGAACACTCAATGGATATTCTGCGTAATGCGTACAATAGGTAAGTGAAGTCGATATTTTTTGTTAGTAGGGCTTATGTTTATATGGCCAGTATGCTAGGATATGCTAGTTAGGTCAGTGAAATACAGTTCGTCGGATCAACTGATGGGAACGAATAATCAGTTAGCTCAATATGGATTGCTCGTCTTAGAACGCCGCGTTGTAATTGTCCAGTGTTGTCTGGAATATTTTCATTTCGAATTCAATGTAGATTTTGGGGATGGAGATTGTAATGTTTTTGGGTTTGTTGGTAACTGATGTTTCTTCTTTGTTGGGAGTGGGTTTTTTTGTTGATTTTTGTAATAGGTGGGTTTTATATAGAATGGTTTTATGGGAAGTTGATGTGGGTGGTGTAAATAAATTTTTTGGTTTTTTCGATGATTTTTCTTTTAGCTTTTCTGATTTTGTTTTTAATGTAGAATTCTTAATCTGCAATTCTTATGAGATGCTGACGTATGCTGTTGGGTGAACTCCACGGTAGGGGCTCCGTTTATTTTTTTACCCACATCTTCAGCGTTGTTCAAATTAGGAGGAGGCCTTTGTCGATGTTCCTCGGTGTGAGGATATCGTGGATGTCATCATCCAATGTGAACGTACTTCTTTCTTTTTAATTGGTTTCCCACTTTGGGATGGACTGTTCTGTGGCTTCGTTGATTCGTTATTTGAAACAATAGGCCAAAATGTTAGGGTCAGTGGAATACAGTTCTTCAAGTCAGCTGATGGAAATAAATAGTCAGTAATAGCTAATAGCTTTGTAAAAATGCTCGCCTTCGTACGATTTGCCATGTAGGACTTTTCTTTATTATTACGGAGCGTATCTCAGACTCGTATAGTTAGGCCCTTATCCAGTATAATATCAACAAAACAATAATGATATAATGATTTCAGGAAATGTAGGAGATAAAATGCAGGCTAAGATGTTACATTGAAATAAGGGAGTAGCTTCTGTAACACAGCAGTGAATTAGTATGAGGAACAAGTGTCATATAGAGTGCCGTTTAGCGGAGAGTGCGGAGCAAGTGTTAGAGCTGGAAGAAATGAGGACAAATACCTAGTAACGAATTCTGGATGCCGATACGAAATCAGATGTTAACATTGAGAGAAACTAAAAGACTGTCTCTCAAGCACTGGCTTTTCAAGTGTGCACGTATAAGGTTGCAAAGACACTATAGAGCGCTTTTCAGTCAGCAGCGATGGAAATGCATTAGATGACTGCTAGGAAGCAACCTGTTGAAAGTGCGAAGATAGTGCGTGAAGGGATAGGGAAAGTTTGCTATTTGTGGACAGTACTGTCTATACGTATAGCTAACAAGGCAAGAATAAATGTGATTAATAGCAAACATAGTTAGCATAAGAATAAAAGGACAAAGCTTTCGACTTTAACCAATCCCTGTGAGACGCTCCATCCATTCGACTTCATAAAGCATCGCTAGGGTGACCGAATGCATATGTGGCCTATACAGTGGCTTGCAGTGACCTACTGATGTAACAAGTCCTTGCTGTTATCCTTCGTAGACAACTCTGCTACCAATTTGCCGACTCCGGAGAGCGGGAAGACCTGGTGAGCCCAGAGCTCGGAGTCGAACCAAAGACCGCGTGTGTATCGCAGGACATTGTGCTACACGCGAACATGTTAGCATGGGCTGCATGCAATAATGTGGGAATATGAAAACTATTTGGTGGAATAGTTAGTATAGACTTGATTGCTTCTTAATCGATAACTGTTAACGTTTGATTGCGATTTCTTGTATTATAGTTTTCTTATTTGGGGTTCTCATCATCTTCGCTTTTCAACTAACTCTTTATCTCCTTCCTCTAAATTTAGTGCTTCGAACGCCGCCGTTGAACATTGTTGTTCTACGTTACCTTGAAGTTCACGAATTGAGTAATAAGAGAATGAAACTGTGCACTTTTTACTTTTTATTTTCTGCTTACTTCAATTTTCGTGACAGGGTACTAAGCGAAATAGAGCCGCGGTATTGCTGAGATATTTGCAAAACTCTGGACCACAGGTGTCTAAGGTGGGGAACGAACGCGCTATTGTCCTTTCCGGGGAGTAACGCGTTCACCACTACACCATGCGGATCCTTCGTTTCACCTGTCCCTCAGCTAGTTCTATCGATCAGCGCTATTGCTGAGTGCCCACTTTAGACACCTGTGGTCCAGAGTTTTGCAAATATCTCAGCAGCACTGTGGATTTTCCAAAATTCTTTGAAATTGACATGATTTAGGGATAAAGCGGATAATTTCCCACAGACATCCGATCATACTCGGTTCTCAAACAGCGTAGTGGATGTATTCACGCAGTTGAACGAGGCGTTGAAATTGCTCAAGCAGGTAAGAAATTCATCAACCATTGAGCAGCACATGATATTAGGCATGGTGAGAAGGAATGTGGAAGACACCGGCATCGCTTGAAGCAAAAGGTTTTGTACTTGTCTCTCCATCTACTTACAATACAGCAAGCCCGTAAAAACCCTCACGATGGTTAGCGCTCGAAATGAAAATGAGGTAAAATGTTCCTAATGTTTAATTGAGCTGACATCTAAGAGTGTAGGTGTCGTTGAGGGCCAACCCAGTTTCCAGTCGTATTTATCATAAATGACATCACAACATTTTTAGCTTGTGGTTCATAAAGAATAATAATTGGGCAGCAGTAACGGTAACTATCTTAGAAATTGTGCTGAGCTTGCTAAAATGATGTAAGGAGAGAACAAGGCATAAAGGGATACTTTGTTTCGATTCCCTTTATAATCTGTCCACATTTTAGATGGACTGTCCGAATCCGGTTGTCTATGCTGATATGATGAAACGATTTAGTAAAACTCTGAACAAGGTAAGAGTACCACTCCTCATATATTAACATTTATGGGTTGTTTTATGTGTTAATATAGAGTCACCTCCTATCTCACCTGTAGTCCCATTGGTCGTGGAGTGACTCGAGTGGACGCCAGTAAATTTTCCATTTTTCTCTGTCGCGTGCAAGAGTAGCCCAGTGGGGAGCATCATATCTTTCTTCTAGGCTCTTCGTGAAGGACTCTGACTATCGGGTCTTCCTGCATTGCGCCTAACCTCCCGAGGAATCCAGTTACTAACGGCTCTTGTCCACCAGTTGTCATTCATACGCATTGCATGTCCGGTACATCTTATCTTCGACTGTTTGGCGTACAGAACGGCATCTTTCATTTTTGATCGTTGATGCAGGTCGGAGCTTCGGATCCCATCCCTTACTTGTGTGAAACGGGATACTCCCAGCATCGTGCTTTCGACTGCGCGTTCGATAACGATGAGTGATCTTTCATCCTGCTTACGCAGCTACCAGGTTTCTGACGCATGCGTAACGGCAGGAAGTACCCTTGAGTCGAAAAGGTGGGCAGGGAGTCGGGTGTTCTTTGTTCTCTTCACTACATCCTCGATGCTCTTGAAAGCTCCCTAAGCCGCTCGTTTCATTCTGCTCAGCTCTGGAGCTAGGTCGTTCATCGTATTGATTTCCCGACCTAGAGAGAGATAACTGGAGCATTCAGAGATTAATCGTTCCGTTGAGCGCGAATGGGGCATGCGAAACAAATCCGTTCCTCATGAACATCGTTTTTGTGAGATTTAGTCAAAGACCAATCTTTCCACAGGCTTTATCAAAGTCGGGAAACATTCATACCGCTTGGCCAATGTTTGGTGTGATAAGGACGATGTCATCAGCAAAGCGAAAATAGTGTAACTACCGACCATCGATTTTAACTCCCATATATCCTATTCCAATGTTCGCATGACGTTCTGGAGTGTGGCGGTAGATAATTTCGGCGGGATGGTATCGCCTTGCCTAACTCTTCTTTTGACGTTAATGTTAATATCGTTGTAGAATGGTGACACCTTGGTTGCGTAATTTTTGTACAGCTCACGAAGAATCTTTATGTACTGAGTAGGGACTCCTTGACTATCAAAGGCTTCCAGGACTGCTTCTATCTCAACTGAATCAAAGGCCTTCTGTAAATCGATGAAAATGCGACAAAGCGGTCTTTCGTACGCTCGCGATAACTCAATGAGCCGTGTTACCGTGTGGATGTGGTCCGCCGTACTAAATCCTTTTCGAAACCCTGCCTGCTCACATAGCTGTCTTTCGTTTAGTGTTCTGTCAATCCTGTTTAGGATGACTCGAATGAAAAGTTTGTAGACGACAGACAGTTAGCAGATTGGGCGATAGTTGCCGAAATGCCGTAGGTCACCCTTCTCGAACAGTAACACGATCTTGCTTGTCTTTCACTGAGTAGGGACCTTGCATTCAGAAAGGTAACGTGTGAACAGCCGAGCCAATGTGTTTACGAGGACTGGGGGAAGGTTCTTCAGGTGTTCTGGTCTTATCCTGTCCGGATCTGGTGCTGTTCGATTTTTCACCGACGAAATGGCATGTCGAATTTCGGACGGGAGAACCGGTGGCACGACATATCTATCCTTCTTTATTTCATATGACGGAAGGTGGCCGTAGCTATCAAAAAGATCCGAGTAGTATTCGTGAATGATTTTCTCCATTGCCTTTCTGGACGCTGTAACTGTTCCGTCTGGGCGCTGGAGTGCAATCATTTTGGTCTTGTAATTGGCGAAGCTGCGGTGGGCTTTACGAATGTTTTTCCCAGCCTCTGCAGCTTCGGCCATTACTGCTGCTCTTTTCTCTCTAAGATCTTCTTTTATCGCCTGTCTGCATTGTTTTCCAAGTTCGAACGGTAGTTCACTGTTGCTCGCAGCTCGTGCGATTCAATGGTGGTGTATCAGCTTGAGAGTTTCTGGAGACAAACGCCTCTTGGTGTGTTTCGAACTGTCAGCTTTCATAGCGCTACCGTGAAGATGTTGAATGACCCCATTGTATTCCTTGTCGATGTTATCGACAACGGTATCAACCCAACAGCCGACTAATGAGTTGAATAAGTCCCAGTTTATAGTGGTTTTGGGACTTCGTTTTTTTTGAATTTAGCGGATTTTCTTCCTTTCTGAGAGAAATGAAGTCTTACACGAAGGAGACGATGGTCTGATGCCGTGTAGAATTTTGGGACAACAGCGACATCGGTTAGGCAAAACCTTCTATTTACTGATGTGGTCTATTTCGTCATGGTACTCTCCATTGGAAGACTCCTACGTCCAGCGTTGAGGGTGGGGTTCTGAAATTGCGAGTATCCATGGATGGTCTTGTTCGCCATGATAAACTCAGATAGCCGCTCACCCTGTTCGTTCCATTCTAATCCGTGGGTCCCAATGTGAAGTTTTTTAGACGTTCTTTTTGGTCCATTCTTGGCGTTGAAATCACCAATAATGACCTTGAAGAATGTATGGTCTTCTTTGTAGAACGTGTTCAAGTCCATACAGAACGTTTCGAGTTCTTCTTCTTCGTCATAGTTTGATGTCTGCGCGTACGCGACGAAAATTGTCAAAGCCGGTATTGATCCAAATCTTTTTAACTGTAAACGTCGGATTCGGGTTGTAAGCTGTTCGAATGAATCGATGTTTATGGACAAATTCGTGTTGACGGGAACGCCAACGCCGCGGACTCCTTTACTGTCGCATGTTCCACAGTTCTTCTTTGGTGTCATAGATGGCGTTGAATGGGTGGCGTCACCTCGTCTCTGCAAGGCTGATGACGTCGTACTTTATCCTTCTTGTTTGCATGAGCAAGTCTTCTATCGACGACTCGGATGCAAGTGTACGTTCATTGTAGGTACAGATCATCACCGTAGTTTTTTGAAATCCAGGCAGCTTCCATTGGCTCTGAGATTCTAGCAGCTCCGTATTCGTCCTACCCAACGCTGCGAAATTGGGGCTCTTTCGGGTCGTGGGAATGGAACCCGTTTTCAATGTTTTTCATCAATAAGCAGACACGAGGTTGTTAATATAGAATTTATTAGAACACAATTGCTGACGTTTCGGCGGTTTCGCCTTCTTCAGAGCCTGGAAAGGTCAAATTGAGATGCGATCTACTCAGCCAAACACTTTCATAACCCTAGCAGATAAAACTTGATAAATCGATTTGTATTCGCATAAGAAACAGCTTCATTCAAACACCTACCGTTTATTTGTTGTAAGTATTTAAGTTAGTTGGTGGATAGCCGCCGCACAGAGTAATACATGGTCGATAACTGGGTCCATGTCAGATCATTGGATCAGCCTGAGGTATGGCGCTAGGTCACGCGTGATGACAAGACACTCCTCCTTGCGGTTCATTTTTGAATTTTTGGCATTGATCCAAAACGCTTCAAGAGTTTTACGCGCTGATGTTTTTGATTCCTGCGTAAGGACAGTGACTCCTACCTCAAAATCTTCTCCGTTGTGTTCCTGCATCCTATGCGCGCCTAGTGGAGTATTTTGTTTTAGTTTAGATTTACCGACTAGGTGTTCTTTTATGCGGACGCAGAGCGGTCTACCCGTTTCGCCAACATATTCGTGCCCGCACGCTTTACAAGAGATCAGATAGACTGTACCCGAACTCATGCAATCACCGTCTCTACCATTTGGGCAAATTATGCAGTTTTTTGTTGTACATAGACGGTCGTACAGGCGGTTGCGAACTAGCTGGCGTCTTAGAGTGTCCGGTGGTATTTCTATCACTCTTACGGAATTCTCTAGACCGGCCCTTATTAAGCAGCGTTTTATAGCTGCACTTATTTCGTTTGAAATAAAGGGCAACAGGAACGGAGCCTTGTTTTCGCTAGAATTATCGCTTTGGGGCGTGGGATTTCCTCGATGCCTATCCTGAGAAGCTACAGTTTCGTAACCATTTGAAATGGCTATTTGCCGCGCCAGTTTCGAGGATTCTTCCCTCTGCTCTCTACCTGTGCACACGCTAGCGGCGGTTCGAAACATATTTCTTATGGCTGTATGGCTTTTCTGTATGGCTTTTCGATTCAGCAGCTTATGGTCCTCCTGAAGGTCTGTTTAAACTGCTCGATCTTCAAATGGTCCGGGAAATATTACGCGCAAATTAGAGGGCTGGCAATGGGACAGCGACTGGCACCAAACCTTGCCGTTGCCTTTATGTCTAAAGTGGAAGCACCAGTAATCGATCTCACGCCATTACTCTACTGTAGGTATATAGATGATTGTTTTGTCATCTGCTCCACACAAGAGGAGATGGACAAATGCTTTAAGTTATTGAATGAACAGTCAGAGTACATAAAATTCACCCGTGAGAAACCGTCAGCAATTGTGTTCTAATAAATTCTATATTAACAACCTCGTGTCTGCTTATTGATGAAAAACATTGAATTATCAATTAATGCCGAGGTTAACAGAAAGTCGGTCTTGGGAAACCCGTTTTTTCATACTGCGTTTAGCATTTTTGATACCCACGTATGGCTTGCTGTGCTCTGAACATAGGGGCTGGATATACCACGGGTGGCTTGCCAGGCTCTCCCAGAGTGGACATGGAGCTTATTTGTTGGAGGCGACTCCTAACCGCCCCCCATATACTTCCTAGTCACTTGATTTTAAGCTTTTGGCCGAATTGACTCGTAGAATACATTCCGTATAAACAAGAACGCACCCACACATGTGTACATGAATAAGCCTAGCAAATACAGAAAATATGTTCCAAATCGGCGCAGCAGAAACAGGGTGTCCATCCTCTGGATTCACGTGCGTCTCAGGAAAGCAAAGGTCGCTTTTGGTCCGCGATTATCCGCCACCTGAGGACGCGCCACGTAGCCTCGCGACTAACCGGATCGAAATCCCTCATATGAGGTAGATCCGTAGAACATAGAGTCAGGGTAATTAATGCTCTTACTTAGCCAGTGTCATAGCCGTACTGCACTTGTGAAAGCCTAAAAAACGGTGTTCGAGACTCATCGGATTACTGTTTGACAGGTTTCATGCAGACAGTACATATTCTACCTTTTTTCTTCCTTGAACTCATCACCCTGAAACAAATTCAACAAATAGCACGCGTATATCATAGCATTGATCGTCTGATAGTAACGAATGATACCCAGTTAGCTGGAAAACTGTATAGGACGATCAGGTTTTTGAAAACAAGATTCGGTGAATCTCGGCAATCCATCTCCATTCTCTAGTGGTAGCTCAGATTTCAAATTGATAACTCTCTGTGCTCTACTTTATAGTCGAAGTTTATCAACTTCGTTTTTCAAACTACCTTTCTAAAAAATATTCCTTACTATTTATAACTACCGTTTTTCCTACTACCGGATTACTGTAGGGTGATATTGCTCAGAGAAGACCACACGCCGATAATGTGGACCAATATAGGTTAAGCCGAAGCATATTTTTTTTCCCGTCGACGTTGCTATTTCTTCATTGCCGCTATTTTAAGGTCCTTCTTGCCTATGCAGACATGGTTCACAAAGATTTTCCGAAGTTTTCATCAAATGAGAAACTTGCTTGCATTCTTATGAATAATGTGCAACAGCTAAGGTACGTCAATTAGCAGTCGTTTTTTAAAAAGTAATGCTTCCTTCAATTCATCTATTATTATATTTTTACGGAAAGAACCAGAGAATGTTTACTTCTGCAGAGTGCAACTCGAGAAAATTTACGAGACAATGGGTGGTGAAGAATTGGATCCGACATGCAGTCAGGTGCTTAATAATCTACAGAAGAAGCTGAACAGCGTATTAGACAAGCTCTCTGGCCAGGTTTGCACCGCTTTGTTGAGAAATGTTTTCCTCCCTCGATATGCAATAATATTAAAAAATAATACGCCTTTTTGATTCTCAAAATTAGTGCTTTTTCAGTTTGTTACTACACTTGAACCAATGATTCAAGAACAAACAAATAGGCTAGGTTTGCTGCTGTCGAAAATTAAAGGGCCTCAACTCCAAAAGACGCAAGTAGCAACAGTAAGTGTTCTGGTCTTTTCTTGGAAAAGAGTTACAGACGCGCTACAGTCTGCTTTGAAATACTCATACGAAATTTTTTATAGTACAGCGCTGAATTTCATGAAATAATTGATAGAATAACATAAAAACTTGTCCAATTAAATCCGGTAAAAGCTTGTTCCTTTATATTCATAGGAGGTGGATACTGTATTAGAGCCGCTTATGGATTTACTAGAAGGTTCACTTCAACGATACTTCCAGCAGTGTGAGAAGACAGTCCTTAAGTACATTTTAAAGGCAAGTAATATGTCTGGGTTACCGTAGGAGCTTCTTTTATTCATGCCTAATGTTCTCAAATGATGTTCAGGAACTATGGAGGATTACGATAGTATGTATGGAGAAGACGGTCGTATTACCTCCACTAGCGGATAAAACGGTTCGTTTCTGCTTGCTTTGTTCCGTATGGTATTAATAGAATAGTTGACGAATAGTCACTTCATTTGTTAAGCGAGCGAATTTTTTCCAGCTATTGAAGCAGCTTCCAAATGCCAAAATTCAGGATGTTACAAAGCTAATGTCGACTAACATCCAAAATATCAAGGGAATGAGCTCTGTGAAAGAGATGATGGTACTTTTGTGTTTCTACTTTGTCTATTCAGTGGTGTGAAACCTTAATAACAACGTATAACTTCTTCTTTTGCTGCCTGTTATATTTTAATGGCAGGGCAGTAATTAACGCATACTCTGCTATAAAAAATAATAGACAGTGAATAAAAAAGTTACATATTGTGATTTCCACTATAGCCTCAGCTTAACTAGCAGGTTTAATGCTGTTTTGTGCTCTACGGACCACTTCCGTTTACGGATGATTTCTGTTGGCAGTTAGGGTAAAAAAAATTGGCTGAGAGAAAAGCAAAGCAAGGGCATAAGGGTGCAGTGGACAAAACATAGGTCCCGGGAAAGGGAAATCATGGGTTCCAGTATGGTTTGGAATCTGAGTGCGAATATCTCAGCCTAATTGTGTTGTACTTAATAACGGTGTCTTTTATTTACTACCAGTTCTTTTCCCATGGGTGGATATGATGTGAAATAAAACCACCAAGATGATGAGACATGAGCAAAACTCACAGCGTCAGGCCAGCTTCGAACACGCGATTACACTTTCCGGTGCACACGCGTTATTCATCACCCCAACTAAGGTCATTGCTTTCTCTCTTAGCCGGTTTTTTATTTTAACGGTGTCATCAGCAACTAACAATCAACGGGAACGATCTGAGAGCACGAATGGTCACTGAGTCTAGTTAGTATGAAGCTGTAGTCGGGTTCAGAATGTCCTAACTTTTATTTAATGTCTATTTTTTCTTCATCGCGTGCTATTATTTGAAATAGAACGCAAGCATACTGAGATACGAGCAAAACTCAATTGTAACAATGTTTAACCTTCTATTTGCTGCCCATTGTTTTTTTTCATGGTGTTATGTGGAATACAATCACAATGTTGCTGAGATATTTGCAACCATAACAAGGTAAAACTAGCCGAAAAAAAGTCAAAACAATGGCATCGGCGGTGCAATGAGTAAAACGTGAGCCTTCGGAAGGGGTAATCGCGAATTCGAGTCTGGTCTGAGGTGCGAGTCTCTGCAAATATATCATTATCATTGTCGTTGTATTTCACAGAACTCACATAGCTTTACGATATGCTGGTCTGAAATATGAGTTCAACTCATATCTCAGCATAAAAGAGTAGTCAAGGAATAAGAAGTTGCTTACTTCATACTTAATAGTTGAACGGCCCGTCCTCACTAGTTGTGCGGACTCCGGCCGAAAAGCGATATTATATTTCCCCGAGGGAGGGTTGATCCAGGGGATGAAGTTCCTGTTCCTGCTGCGTTGAATTGGGAAATACCTTCTGTTTCAGGCTGGCGCATTTTATGTGGATTGTATTCTTATTTGATACTCCCGTCCTAACTGGTTGTGCGGGTTCCAGCATAATCACCACTTTTCGGAGATTTGTTGGTTAAGCCCATTAAGGTCCTCTGGAATCCTGAGGACAACCTGGCCAAGGTCTGCCTCAGGTCGTCGCAACCATAGGCAGTTGCAGCCTTTGTGGATCAGAGGGAAATTTGCCACTATGCGATTTTGATACCAGGACGTTAGTTGATCCCGGTATTGGTTTGCCCTTAGCTAGGCTTCCTGATGGAAACGCCGGATTCCTTCTCAGCTTGGGTGACCTTGCCGAGGGGACGAATCCCCTGCTGTGAATCGCAGTCTGACACCCAGGAACACCTCTCAGCCACGATGAGGCGGTAAACCGTTGGGACGCCTACGTTTGGTTTCTAATAAAGTAAAACTTCGGTCTAATATGCGAAAATGAGAAATGTTCACTGATTATGATGGCTTAAAATTATTCTTTGTTATTTAAAGATAAAGAAGACAATCTTGATCACCCATGCATTGATATCAATGCGCGTGGTTGGGAATTTTTTAGTCATATATTCGACGGCAAAGAGTAATGTCGTATAGATGCAAATATATATATATATATATATAATTCGTAGGATATGGCTCGAGAGTGTGAACGTTCCTTAACTCCGAAGCAATGCACAGTTTTGGATGCAGCTTTGGATGCCATCAAAGGTTTGGAATCATCATATTATTTCAAAGTTTTTCATTCATCCTAAATTTATATTTATTGTGAAACCAATTTTAGAATGCTTCCACGCTGGCGGTCAAGGTCTGAAGAAGTCATTCTTCGAGAAGAGCCCTGAGCTGCAATCACTGAAATATGCGCTCAGTTTGTATACACAAACTACCGAACAACTCATTAAGACATTCATCACGAGTCAGAAACAACAAGGTATAAAATTGAGGTGTCTTAAGTTAAAATTAAGTGCGTTTCCAGTTTTTTGGAGAGCGGAAATGTAGTAGAAAACTAGAGAAAACGTAGTGCCTAACTTATTTTGTCGTAGATTTACCATCACAAGAACAACCGGTAGGAGAAGTAAGTGTACAGGTGGATTTGTTCAGCCACCCTGGTACTGGTGAACAAAAGGTCACTGTAAAAAGTAAGTCTGTAGCATCTATTTTTGTTCGTACGTACATTTGTTTGTCTTATTTTTAGGATTTTATGCTTGGAATTTATTGGATATGATCTCAGCTAGAAATTACCTTTGTAGTTTTGGCGGCAAATGATCTGCGCTGGCAAACATCATCTGTATTCAAACCGTTCGTCGAAGTACACTTAGTTGGCCCTCATCTCTCAGATAAGAAGAGGAAGATGGCAACGAAAAGCAAACCGGGCAACTGGGCTCCGAAGTTCAACGAAACATTCCATTTGTGAGTTCCTTGCTCGCTTTTTTCTCCAACATTTTCCGCCGTTCCAATTTGTATCTTTTTTCCATCGTTTCTTCTTTCCATTCCTTTTCATGCCTTGAAATACAATAATGTAGAGCTTCAGAATCTCGAAAACCATATTACTATTAGTCATGGAGATACCCTAGTTTCCTAATTGCAACAATATTCAGCTTCCTTGGCAATGAAGGCGAACCGGAACACTACGAACTAATGTTCCAAGTGAAAGATTACTGCTTTGCGCGAGAGGATCGAATTGTTGGTGTAGGCGTACTTCAATTAGTGAACGTTGTTGAGCAAGGTAAGGAAACCGATTATTCGTTATGAGTTAGAGGGAGAACAGTAACGTCTCCTTTCTCTGTTAATTCAGGATCATGTGCTATGTGGGTGCAACTTGGACAACGTTTACACATAGATGAGACTGGACTGATTTTGCTTAGGATATTAAGCCAGAGACAAACCGATGAGGTATGAGCTTCATGGAAGGCGTGATTGTTGCACTCCCACTTGGTCAAATGGATTTTTTTCCTGTGACTGTACGTTATCAAACAGAAATAACTGCACAGGTTGCACGAGAATTCGTACGATTGAAGTCCGAATGTCGTCACGAGACCGAAAGCACGTTAGTGACATCGGCTAGCGCTCAGAACATTACTCGGTGATAGTGTGTCCGAAACGGAGACTCTTGATCATCATTGCGGGATATTTTTTCAGATGTACAAATACAACTGCTGTACCAAATACGTGTATTGAAAACCAGTGATTAATTTGTTATCAGATTAAAGATGAACAGGCATATTGCAGTTCTTAATTGCAATTTAAATCCGACCAATCGTTTTCGCTTGTCTGTGAATTTGTTTAGAGCCATTTCTCAGATGTCTATTTATTAACTCACTACTTTCGGTAATATTGCGATTTTTGTTTGACTTCGTAGCGAATATGTCGCCGATTGCTGGTTACAAACAAATTGGTACTTTCATTAACATAACACAAAGGAACTCCATATTGCTATTATAGTGCCTTCTTACTGTATAATAATAAAGCCTTTAATGTATTGGTAGAACCAGAGCTTAAGAATCAACGCATTGATAATCTCTGAGATAACCAAGAAGGCAGCTCACTGTCTTCGAAGTGTAGTTTTGAGATCAGATCGTTATAGAGAAGGCAGCAGTCGAATAGGCATGGTGGTTTTTTCTGTTACCAGGTATTAACGGTTATCCAGAACGTTTGAATATTGTTTAGAAGTCAGTAATGATTAGCCCACTATATAGCATCGGTTCCCTTTCTATTCCAGTCGTGTGGGATTTCCACTATTCAGTTTTCCAATAGTCCGAGGTCCGTTCGATACTGTAGTCAGATGGGAAAAAATAAACGAAGAAAAAAAAACACTAAAAAACACTAAGAAAAACAAAAACACACAAAACACGAAGCAGAGGGCATGATTTCGATGGTACGCACAGTAAATATTTTTACAATGAATTTTTCCTGTGGTGCCACGGGTATCACTATAGCAGTAATACCGTTCAGCACTGCACCGTGGTCGAAATCCGCCCCGAGCCCACAAAGCGCCCCATCCTTCCAGGGTTGGGAAACTGGTACCACAGAAGTCTGACATGGTTTGGGAAGCTTTCATCGATTCACAAGACGAAGAAATGCCGGCTGCTGCCTTAGGATAATTGGACTCCTTCGTGAATGTCGATAAATGTCGGTCGAAGCTAGGAACAGCTAACACTCTCTTATCTCAGAAACGGCTTTCGGATACTCGACTCGACCAGCATTCGCGTGATTCATGGAGATTTGCTATCCTAAAACAGCAACAGAACCCACAATAAAGTAATATTTCGACGTTTTTCATCAATGATAGAATTTTTTGTCAACCTCGTGTTAGCTTAATAATCCAGAAATGTATTCAATACTTTATTTGATTATTTCATGCTATCTCCACTTGCAGGATTAGTTATCAGAAAAATCACAACATCTTTTAAAATTAGTCCTCCGATCACTGCGCCACACGCTCCTTAGATCCTAGCATAGTGATCCAAAAATGGATGGATACGAAATTCGTACAACTTGTTATGTACTCAGAACTATTCCAAAAAATAATTTTTCAAATGACTGAGCTTACACTAGATTAGTATAGAGTTTTATTCCGCTAACGTTTCAGGGCTTTCGCCTTCTTCGGAGCTCCATTGATCCGAATCGATGATCCACAGCTGGTCGTTGGCACGATGTGAGCGATCGTAGTCACATCAAGCCGAATCCAATGGCGAGAGCACTATCCGAGTAAGGAACTTCACTCAGCGATGCTCTTTTATCCAAGACGGATTTTGGTCTATTCCTGCGATCCAATATGAAAGCACCGAAACGTTAACCGAATAAGTTTTTTGTGCCAACCTCGTTTCAGCTCGGGCTTTTAGAAAATTACTGTCTATTATTACCGAGCTTTAATAGAAGTCGGTTTTTAAGATAGTGACACGATGCCTGCCAGCGAGTGATGTACCGACTGATACAAGGTGCATTATTCGCCAAATTAGAGGTCATATTGGATGGCAGGAACTGACCAACATCCTGGGAACCGACCGACATCCGTCCCGCATAATAGGATACCTCTGAGTGAGATTTCCTATTCAGATAATGCTCTCGCTACAGGATTTGACTTGATAAAACTAAAAAGCTAGGAGCTCTCATATCGTGACAAGGATCAGTTGTGGATTATGGACACGGATCAATTCATCTCTAAGGCGAAAGCACCAAAACAGCGGAATAAAAGTCTGGACTAACCACGTGTCAGCTCAGTTATTTGAAAAAACAAGCTGTACAAATATGCCAGGACTAATTTTAAAAGATGTTGAAGTTCTTCTGATAACCAGTCCTACAAATGGAGAAAGCATGAAATGATCAAATAAAGTATTAAATTCATTTCTGGATTATTAAGCTTAGGTCGTAAAGTCCTTCTACACCAATTTCATGTAAGCTCAGTCATTTGGAAAATTAATGATTATTGTTGCAGAGATTTAGTGAGTGCTAGTTTTTAAGATACATTCCAGTTACGTTCGGAACATTTTTAGTTAGAGCTATACAGTTTCGGAGAGTCGCACAATGAAATTATTAGGGTTTAAGGATAAAGAGGATCGTGAACATCATTCTGCTGTTGGTAAAATACCACTGGTTGGAACTGGATCGACTATGAAACTAGTATGTTTCGAAACACTAAAATTATTTCTCAAGCAAAAATTGGGAAAAGCAGTGATTATTTGCGTGCCAGTCTGTTTGTGATTTAAAAAGACCATGGTTCTACTTCAGTTACAGAGTAATCACGAAAGTAACGACACCTACGAAAACAGCCAGCATCTGATCAGTTGGAAAGAAAAATCAGCGGAGATTATAGTTGAAGGCGTGATAAATTAGGAACAAGCTGAACTGACACACTGGGATATTTTGTGGATCACACGCAATTGTTAGAAATGTTTTAGAAATAGGGAAGAATGCAGAGAAAAGCATGAAAGATATGGAAAGCACAGCAAGAACTGACTGAGTTATTAACGACTGAAAGGAAAACTGAATTGTAGAGAGAAATACATGGAGAAAAAAGGAATCCATCCTTTTTTGGTGCGAGGAAATCGGTATAACCAGCATGAGCTGATTTCACTTCGTAGTGTACACAACGTGAAATTACCCGTTGCGCCCAGCGTTGCGGCTGCATAAATTTAGGAGTAAACCAAGGCTACTAAAAAAAAGTAAACCTACTTGTCCTTTTTCCGAAACGAGCATACAGTGACACTACTAAGCAAAAGTTCCAACTTTCTGAGTATGTCAACTTTTAACACTCTTCTCCGGTGTCAACGACGGCGTTGAATGGGCAGCGTCTTCTTGTCTCAACCAGCTATCATCAATTCTTCTAAGCGATGAGTCAGATGGAAATGGGCGTGCATTATAGGTACAGATCGTCACGCAAGTCCTTTGCAATTTAGGCAGCCTAGAATGGCCCTATAGAGAACTTCCCCCTTGAAAAGTTCTCTATCTATCTAAATAATAGTATTCGAAGTCCAAATATGGGCGCCTCGCACTCGCACATCAAACACCGCAATATAACCTTTTCTAATCTTCTCGATCAATTATGTTCAATGTTTCAGGCACAATAGCGATAGGTTTGACTTCAGTAGCATAGCGACGATGGCTTATCCGAAGGAGGCGTAACCATGGAACAGTTTACTACTTCCTTGCGAAACAACGAAGCTAATGACGTTTGGTGTTTCAGGCAGTTAGGTACAGTCTATTGCGGTCCAGGATCAACAATCCAGATTAACCGCGGTTGCATACGCTCGCGGCTCCCGCAGCCGATATAAGCCAGGTGCCTTCGACGGCGGAGACATGCCATCACTCACCTTACCCCCGATCGGTAGCGCGGATAATCCGCTCCTCACAACCACATCCTCAATCATCCTCAACTCATTTTTAGTCATACTCATTCATTCTCCTTCAATCACATTCATTCTCACATTCGCATTCGTCATTCAACAATCAGCAGATTATTGTATCTTGTTTCTCAGCTTGTCTACGGTGCGATGTCAGTAGTGGCGGGGGGTTCCAAATGCGTTCTGTTTGCAACGCCATCGATGGCATGTACCATTCCTCCCACAATGTACACGCAATGTGTACAATGCCGCTAAGCGGCCAACTTATGCTATGTGTTCTGCTAAGCCGCTATAGGCTTATCAGTTTTGTAGCCATTTATCATACTAGCCCTTGACCCTTAGGCAATGGTGGCACCCATCGATGCTCAAAGTTCACGTTGCTGACATAGCGTTATTCACGACCAGCCGCCTGACTATGTTCCGCAGATGACTCAAAGGGAGAGAAAGTATATCGGAGGTAGTTAGAGGTCGCCTCCAAGAAATAAGTTCTTCCTCTACTCTGGTAGAGACTGGAAAACTACCCTTGAGTAGAGGTAGCCCCACGTTCAGTGGTCAACAAGCTATACGAGGTGTCAAACGCTAAACACAGATCACCACCAACGAAAGAAGACGAAAGAAGAAGAATAAGATGAAAGAACAAGAAGACGAAAGGAGAAGATGAAAGAACTAAAAAAGAAGAAAGAGGAAGAGAAGTCGAAGCAAGAAGACGACGAAGGAAGACGAAAACGAAAGAATAAGACGAAAGAAGAGAAAGTCTAAAGGAGAGGAAGATTAAAGGAGAAGAGGACGAACGAAGAAGAAGGCGAATGAAGAAGAAGACGAAGAAAGAAGAAAGAAGATGAAGGCTAAAGAGTAAGAAGATGAAAATAAGGATAAGACAAAAAAAAGACAAAAGGTGAAATTTCTATAATTGCCACTGAGTTTCCAGACTACTTTTTTAGGCATCTCTTAGTGATGGTGATTACTTCGTTTGATATGAAGGATATCTCTAAAAGAATCATTCTACTTGGATTTCAGATAGTATCGGTATAGTGTAACATTTGGTTGTGGCACTTAGCTCTCCTTTTTGACCTGATTAGCCTCAATGGCCGCTTCGTCGTCATGAGGCTTTACACCTGAGACTTCTTGAATTAATTTCGGCCGTTGAAAACCAGCGTAAGACAAGTGTGTATCAAAGATAGCAGACACATATTACCTTAAACACTTCGGTTTGCTTGATGGAAATGTGCAAAACAAGAGACTAACAT